AGAAATGTTGAAAACAAGTCCTGTAGGCAGAATGTGTAGCGATTCCCAACTGAAAGTTGAGGCACTAATCTAGAGAATAGTTACTTTAACAACTTAGACGTTGGAAATTGAATTAATTAAAAATATAATATTTATAATCCAATATATAGGATGTTTTTCATAAAGTAAAGAATTTCAAATTAAAGAAAAACTGAATTAATTGCTAACAAATCGTTTAAATACGTCATTTTATGATTTAATTGATGAAAAAAAGTTTTGATCAACGAGCTGTTAAAGAAGCATCTAAAAAACTATATTTTATTACTATGGTCTTCCACAACTATTTTGAATATATAGGGCTTCAACTTATGAAAGGCTCATTCACAGGACAATTCTGGCAACAATTTTTCAGGTCAGCACACTCAAAAAGCTTGCAAAACATATTTTGAAAGATCTTTCGTATTTTGACAACGGTTTTTTGCCAGACTGAAAGCACATTTCGGTCTTTCTAAAAACCAAATGAAAGATCTGCTAGAGATCAAATCTTTCGATTGCCAGCTAAGATTTTGTTTGAGTTTTTCGTGTAGAAACTTTTTTTAAATAAAATTAAGTACGGTTAAACCTTTATATAGCGAACATCCCTATAACAAATTTCTCTCTGTAACGAAGTTTTGTTTAAAGCACAACGATATTCATATATTTGATCCTCTCTATAGCGAACCTTTCCTCGCACAACGATATTCATATATTTGAACCTCTCTATAACAAAGACCTCTCATTAATGAAGTTTTTTGCAGGCACCAACGACTTCGTTATAGATAGATTTTTGTGTACATAAAAATTAAAATAAAAATAAATAATTAATTAATTAATTAAAATAAAATTTGTGAAAATTGAACAATTATTTCTAACTACCTTTATAAAAATTTTAATATATATATTTAAATTTTAAATCTAGTTTCTACTGCTACACAGCACTGCTTCTGCATTCACATCCCCCATACTTTTGATTGTACAAGTATGTGAATGTACTATATCTCTCATATATTAGGAGACTATTAACACATACACTCTCTTTTAATTATGAAACATTATCTTCACTACAATTTTACGAAAAAAGGGTGTGGCACTGCCGAGCATGATACTCTCCTCACCGTGACTATGTCTAAAAATAAGTATATAAAAAATAAGTAGGCGCCGCGCGAGTCTAAGTGGTTTGAAAATGATTTTCCAAACCTTTCTCAATAAATAGACGGTTTCAGCAGTTTGAGTACCATATTATTGTACTAGATACTTGGTACCTTTATCTCTATCTAAAACCTTATTACAGTCATAACATTTTATTTTTATAATAAAATACTATTGAATATCAAAATAATAACACTACAAAGCAGAATGTAGGGCAAACAGTGGTAAGGGGTATATAATTTTGATATAATTTTATAAGCAACAAAAAAAATCTAAAACCAAAATTTATTGGAGTTAGAAAAAAACTGTTTAGTTTAATAAACTTTAAGAGGTTGTTTAAAACTGTTTAAGAAATAAGATGACACGATAGTGACTCACCTGTAAATCCACTATAAGACAAATATCTCTAAAAATCATTCCGATGAAATCGTTATACCTAGTCATATATACAAGGTTCTTACTTGGGTACAGATCTTCTCATCCTGTGTTTTTAATACAAGCTAATTTGAAATTTGTAATGTTCTGATACTAGTGGTATCTTTCAGTTGTCACAAAATTTTTGTCATATACATTGTCTAGTTAGCTTATTTTGCAGTCACCTGCGAATATCTAGATCAACTATTGTAAAAATACTTTCCTCTGGAAATATTGAATTCTGTCATATCATTAAAATTATATCAAAGCCAGAGCGCAGAAATTGTTTGATTCTCTACACTGAGCTTCAAAGTATACTTCTATAAATAATATGAGCTCTTATTGCAGTAGATCATCTAAGTGGGAACTTGCTTAATTATTTTATGTTAGTCAATATTACTTATTTATATTACTTAAAAGTCCATCGAGATTTAGAAACATGAATGGAACAAACCTTACCCAGGAAAGAGAAACCAGTTTCAACAATTAAATCTTCCTGTTTTTTTTATGTGGTTAGTTTTTTAACTTTGTGTGAAAAAATTTAAAATGAAACATCAGTCAGCATATAAATCAAATATATCCACAAAAACACAAATCAATTGAACGATATCCGTTTATCGACTTATCTGTATGTTTCTTTCTCTGTATGTCTCCTTTTCTCTATGTCCAGGTGTGGCCAGAACTAGGCTTAAGAGTTTCTGGTGGTCCCCTTCTTTACCTCACTCGACGATGTCTCTAGCATTAACATTGGCCAAATTCTTGCCTTTATAAATGTCTCTGGCTGGTTCTAGCTTGACCTCTATTACCCAATATTACGAGGTTTTGTGAACTCAAAACGGCTTTTTCAGATAATTGAGGAGGACTCGTTCCTCCCTCTATCACAACTAACTAACTAACTATGTGTTCTATTATCTCGTTTGTAGACAAACTCGTCTTTCAGCTGTAGAGCTAATCGACTGAAAATGTGTGCAGGAATATATTGTGGATATGTCTTAATATTGTGGATATTAGTTCACATAAATCTAAATAATCATCGAATGGTATTAATAAATATGGTATTAATCTACTATTACTTTCTCATAAAGATGATACCTTGTGTAATTGACCTGTTCCATAAAGGCTTTCAAGTTCAGACTTTTAAATTGCAAACAATCCTCTTCTGCTCTGTGTGCTCATTTTATAAAAATTATTTGTTGAAATATAGTCCAATTTATTGCTTAAGGATGCTACTCGTTGGAGTGGTTATTTACTAGCAGATTTCTTGGAAATCTTCATTGGTATAATTAATCTAAAAAATGCATGTATTAGTTGCAACTAGATGGCATATGTTACTGTTATTAGTGTGACCAATTTACAAAATTTAATCATTTAAAATCAGATATTTTAAGAACTAAGCAATTGGAAATCACGCTCGTGAAATTGGAATTTCTACAGATTTTAAAATTATATTATTAAATAAAATTAATTTTTTTCTATTATTAAGGACGTGTGCGAGTTAGGTTAAGTTTATGCTAAACTAAATGTGAGATTTTTTGGGATTTTTTGCACTGCACACATTTAGCCATTTATCAACACGGAGCGACACATCACTACATTATCGGCACAACTTAGAATTTCCCTCATATAGAACACAACTTAGCCTAACTCGTACACGTCCTAAATTTATGTTGATAGAGAGATTTTGGAAATTAGTGAACTACAATTATTTCATGTATTTAATTATTTGTAAATAATTTTTTGAGACTGCAAATACCAGGGATTGAACTCATGCCCTGCCAAATTTGAAGCTCAGAGTCAGCGTTCATTAGCCAACTGACAAAAAACCATACTTGACTTTTATATTTGCACTTTTTTTTGGACTTTTGCTAATTTGTTGTAATAGTTTTATTAATGAATTCACTTGCTGCGTTTTTATTAGAACGAAATCTTAAACCAACTATAGAATAATTGAATTAATTATGTTTTATTTTTAAGTGTTAAATTTCAATACTATTCTATTTGAATAGTATTAAGATTATTATGTTTGTATTGAAGTATGAAAAAGTATCTAAAAATAAATAAATTAAATTTTTAAGATTCACTTCAACTTGGAAAATACGGACTACTATGTCACCGTAGACATAAATGAATTCCTTATCTTCAGAAATTAAGTTCATTTCTGTTTAATGCGAAAATATTCCTACGACTTGGCACATTATCTGTACCGGCCATAAGCCGGTACAGTTTCCTATATTTTATTACAGTTTTTTCTATATAAATTACAATTTTATGTTAGCATATTATTTATTTTTATATATTAGTTAATATTTTGCAACCTCTGAATACCCAAAATTTATAATCTTTTTCTTAACGAATCTTAACTATAGAATTTCTTAAAAAACCGTTTCAATAAGTCTTAAAAAATATAATAATTGAAAGAAAGTTTTGTTATTTTTTCATTTCTAACTTTTACCTTTAAAATAATCAATTTTAATCCGTACTTGTCTTTCTTCGTTTTATTGCAAGAAGGAAACATTAATCCAATCAAAATAATCCTGCAAAATATAAAGAAAGAAGTAAATATCCCGCATTTGTTGATATTTTTAATAACTCAAAAAATAAGGCCAGCAAGTCCAAGACTTAAGTCATACCGAAGAATCATTTGATTAAGAATCGAAAACTCCCAGTCGAGGCTTAAAGGTTTTTTTTTCATTTTTTTTATTTTTAATTGGGTTCTACATGTAATAATTAAACCAATCAATGTTGCCACACCTCTGAACTGTAACATTTGTATGGGACCAACTGAGTTGGTCAATGAGCCAGCCGACGGTTATCACTATAGATTTAATCTGGCCGGCCGGTAGATGTTCTTTTTTTATACGATGCTCATACCCATTGTTTTCGTGGTTGTTGCTTCGATCGCCGTTGGTCATGGCGGTTGCGATTACGGTGCGGTTGGTGCGATTGCGTTTGCGATTGCGTAGTTCTGACAGATTCTGACTTACAAAGTTTGACTTACAAACTTGTTTATATTGGCGCATTAAATTACGGTTCTTTTGCGCGCTTGAACGCATTTTGAAAATAAAAAAACAATGATTGTTTTGATTTTTTAAGTTTGCTAACTTTTTTCAGAAGAGTTGCTATGTTTCCTTTCTTTTTCGTAGCTTAAGAACTCTTTCTCGTTTGTTCTTTCTTTGCTTTATTTTGCTTTCCATATTGTCATCTCCGACTACCCGACGATTTCTTTCTCCACTTCTGTAAATATATTTACGTGCATGCATATTTTTACATATGCGATACGTTTTACATTCGAGACATTTGTGTTCTTCATTTTAGTTTCTTAGTAGAACGTTTTTCACTGGAATTCCTTTCTGCGCTCAATACGAATTGTATAAATAGGCGCGAACAGCAAAAACTCAGAATCAGTTTCATTCTTACGCGCATGGACGTCGGTCTATAGCGGGGACTTTGCGAATTCCAATATAATTTGTTCGTCTTCCCACTTTGTCATTTTATTCAATTGAACTCAATAGTAGCGCGCGCGTGTGTGTGTGAGTGAAATAGTAATACCTGAAGAAGAGACATACGAAGTACTTGTCACAAAGTAATTTGGGCTTGTGTTAAACAAAAAGTTGATGCCGTCTTGAATATTAATTTCTGAAAGTGCTGCATTTAACTGAAATTTAAATAAATTTAATTTTAATATTTCACTGGCAAATTGTGTCTCAAGTGAAAGAACAAAAGAACCAGCACAGCGCCGTTCAAAATAAAAATAAAAACATAAAAATTTATAGACTTCTCAAAAGTGACTACAATGCGTGTCTAGCATAGTAATGGATGAAGTTCAATAATTGCGGTTTAAAGTTTTTTTTTTTTAAACAAAAAGTGAGTAATGGATTCGGAAAATTTTGAAACAAATGCATTTTTTGAATTGAGCCCAAAATTGATACCAAAAAGAATTATTTTAATAAGTTTGTTGCTTAAGTCTTTTGTTTAAAAAAGTCACACATAAAAGTTTGTTGCTTAAGTCTTTTGTTCTAAAAGAAACATCACTCATTAAATCTTGTGTGTTTGAAATTAAAATATTATTTATTAAAATAGGACATGTGAAATGAAAAAATTAGTTGGTAGGAATTGGTTTTTCTAAAAGATATATAATCAAAAAATTTCACTAAATTAATAATATTTCAGCAAGATTTATATAAACAATTTTTTTAGCAAATATATATATTCCGAATTATTATTAATAATATTATGTAAGGAATACTATACATCGCGACTCTAGTAACTTCTGGACTTGGATGATTTTTTTTTCATTTCATATGTTTAATGCAGCTATGAGTCAGATACGTCTGTTGCTGTTCAAATACATCACCATTCATTTTAAAGAAGTGGCACATATACATTATGCCTCTATTAGTTAATTGTGCTAACTTCAGTTATGTTAACCGATCCTTAGGGTTTTAATGAACTTTAGCACTTTGGATGATTTTTTTTCCATTCCATATGTTAAATGGAGTTATGAGTCATATAAGTCTATTGCTGTTCAGATATATCATCATTCGTTTTAAAGAAATTGCACATATACATTATGTCTCTATTAGTTATTTGTGCTAACTTCAGTTATGGTAACCGAGCCTTAGAGTTTTGATGAACTTTAACACTTTGATGATAATATTCAGACTTATCTGAGCTATGAGTCAGATAACTCTGCTGCTGTTCAGATATAACAATTATTTAGACCCAACTGAAAGACCACATCCGAAATAAAAAATTTTTATATTAGTAAATAATACAATGAAGTATGATTTTGAACTCATATATTTGTACCGATAATGCAAAAAGAGGAGTAAGCGAATATTTTTAAAAACAATTAACTAAAATCATACATAAATCGACAAATTTATACATATTAATGGATAATCGTTTACCTTCAATGCTGTTAGCTGGAGATCTTATTGAAGGCACCATATAATGTAATTCTGTGCTTATAAAACGTTAACTGCTAAGGAGAAGGAAATTTATAATTTGTTTTACGGAATCATTGTTGTGATAACCAATTGACAATTATTTATAAATAATTTATTATAAAATGATCACATCAGTAATAATTGATATATACAATTAAACTATTATCACTATTAAAAATAGTTTCCATAAATAAAAAATTTAGTTATACTAAGAATTTAGACGTAAGTTTTGGATTTAAAATATGAAATCTCAACACTTTACAAATTCAAAATTGATATAATTAAACCTTCTCACTTATAACTTAAATATAGTTTTATCTAGATAATGGTTCACCTATCATTACACATAAAACTTTTTTGATAATTTAAACTAAACTGACTATTGTCTTACTTCTATTGCTCACTAGATAGGAAGTATCTCAGTCCTATAAAGTCTGATATTAAACAGGACTTAACGGCAGAAACTTTAGCCTTCATTCGAAGAGCTAAGTGCCCTCCGGTTTGAGTGAGTTTCTAACACAAATGATCTTTCTTCGGTCACAAAACCCCATAAGAGTTAGCTTTATTTTTCACACCATAACAAAGGAGACGGGGAAAAAATATATGTTGTGTCACTTGTTGAAGACACATAACCTTCAAGTTAAAATAATCATCTAATTTAAACCATAAAAAATTGGTTTTTATATTTTCTAGTATTTTTTAATGACGACAACCACAATAGTATTACCATATTCAAAAATATACAATCCATCATTAGATCTTTGTAATTGAAAATATGTTTCATAAACAGCATAAAACACTTATTCACTCCAAACGCGATCATTTTGACTATTTACGATACCATTTAATTGAAGATTAATTGGAATGAATTTTCCATGAAATAATGGATAAAGGTTCTGTTTCGGATTGTTCTATAGCATAATCTCCAAAATATCTATATAATAAATGGTAATTTGTTCAAAGTTCTTGGATCAACTAAATTTTATACACTCTGAAATGCATATTTTATAAAGAATAATATTCCATATTGTGCTATGAGGAGGTTCGAATTCTTCAGAATGACTTCTAATTGTTTAGTCTCCACTTTCGTCCACACTTTGGTTCATACCATCTTATATTTTTAAGGGGTTGGATTTTTAACTACGTGAATATTACTTATTGATCAGATTTTTTCAATAAGGTTTGATAATCAATTATGTTCAGCATAAATTTCACATAATGTCTGAAACATAGTTCGAATAGAATAATTTTTTTTTTGGTAATATGTCTAACAATACTGTCAATTGACAATCTACATATTTATACAAAATACTTTTGAAAAAGTATCCAGTTATCCAAATATCCATAATCAGTGGTGTTTTGTGATTTTTATCAAGAATTGAACTCCGTCAAATTTGAATGATGTGTACTCGTACCATTGAATGGCTCATATATTAACAAACAAATTAAACTAAACTAACATTGCTCTAATTTAAGAATTTGTCAATATTTGTTATTTGTTTGTAGACAACATTTGCTCTGGTTTTGCTCTTTTAAAATTTAATGCATAAACCACAGCTATATAAATTTACTTAACTATTACCAATAGTTGCTTTTTCAAATTTAAACATTTTTGTCTGTAAAAAAAAAAAAATAAATAAAATAACTGTGATATATAACTGGTGATATATTTAATTAACATTAAATTTATTTCATTGACTTATAGTCCAGTAATAAAATAAAAAATCATTAAAAATTCTGAACGATCTTTTAATAATATTTATAAAAATTTAATAATTTTTTGATTATAGCATTAACCCTTTAAATTTCTTTGAATTAATGTAATCATTATTTGTTCAACATAAATATAATTAATGAATGGGTAATTCGAGATTTCTTAAAATCTTATCTAATCCTTCAAAACACAGTCAAATTTCCATAACTCGAACTTCTATAACTGAAATTTTCTATAACTCAAACTATATAGAGTGCAACAGGGTTTAGAAAGCAAATTACATAGAATTACAAAAAAATTCTTTAATTCGAAGTCTCCATAAGTCGAACCTGTTCTCATAACTTTAAAAAAATATACTTACAAATATGTAAAAATTATATACCTTGGGTTGTCTATTTCAGTCATATTTCTATTTTTTAAAACACTCGCTTTTGCAACCCCAGATTAGAAAGTATCATTTTATTGTGACAGAGTTTCACACTTTTCCTCTGAATATTCTACTATTCGATTTGGACTTAGGTGTTAATATTTTTTTTATTAAAATTCCTTTAAATAAGCTACTTTTATTCAACATATATTTTACATACTTTACACTATATTTTATATATTTGTTAATTCATTACAAATGCAATCTTACATTCTTCTTACTTGAAGTAACATCACGTAACAATCCAGGGTGAACCAATGCTTCCCCAACTTCTATACTATTAAATATTATTAAGAGGTGCAGTATTCAATATAACAAGAGATAACAAGGTGATAACAAGAAATGAGATTAAAAATTCGCGCAATGACATTATAAAGTTAAATATCTTAATGGAAATCTTTAGGAGAGTGTTAAGTAAACACTGTAAGCCATTCGACTCTCCATCTCTGAATCAAAACATTAATTTTTAAAGCGCACTGATTTTTTCTTAATGGATATTCTAATAAAAGCTAACATTCTTATTAACAGAGATTCTTTTTATGCCTATTTTGTAATCATCTTATGTGTTTGGGTTTAAACCATCTTATGACGTTTTGACCATTTATTGTACTTAGGTTCGTCTTCTCTGCAGTTACCCATAATATCCTCTGTTTCCAAGTACCTTTATATATTGGACAGTAACAAGCCTAGCCATTCTCTTTAAGAAAACCCCGATATTCTGAAACTGTCAGCGCTTATCAAAGATTTAATAGTAGGTTGGGTATCCGAAAAGATTACAATATTCACATTGAGAATGTGGCACCTGTTTAAGACATCTAAATATTACTTTTGTTTTTAAAATATGAAGTGTTTTCTCCCCGAATTACATTTCTAATGAATATAACTTAGCACTACTACTCTTCTGTGCAATAATCATAATTAAAACTTATCTTCGACCAAATGGAGGGTTAAAACTGCACCAGAGCAGTCAGTCGTAGACGTCGATGTCACTATATTTTCAATCTAGTTACTCTATTTTCTAATTAAGTTTTTTTTTTAAATATATACCCAAAAAATAATATTAAAAGAAAAACAATATCTTAAGTCAAGCCACCGACTGACAGATTGTAAGCGCTATCTTCAATCGTTATTGTTACTTTCAAATCGCAGTAGAGTTTATGTCCCATTTTTAATAAAATGGGTTAGTCATCTGAATTATACAAATAGAATAAAATAAAAATATATGTGAAATCAAATAGAAATAAGCACGCAATTTTTAAAATTTTAAATATTTAATTTTTATTGCTGTAGAAAGTTTTATTTATTATATATAAAATTTGCATAAATTTGTAAAATATATTAACCTTTAGAATAGTTCATCGTTTAAAACAGAATAAAAAAAATATATTTTTATATTTTTAAATATGTTTTTATAATGAATATTGCTTAAATGACTTTGTTGTTATAAATTAAATTTTTTATGTAAACTTAGGTTAATTTTTGACGATAATATATGCAAAATTTATGCTCTACAATTATTACATTATGAATAAAAATATGAATTTAATCAATATAAATAATTTTATATAGATTAGACACAGTTGAATCAAAATAGATTCAAATATTATCTTTTCATGATATTATCGTTCAAATAATATATTTCGTTCAATATCAAATAAATTGTCTTAAGCGATCCAAGCCTGTTTCAGTAAAGTTCTGATCTTTTCTAAGAACATACAATCTAGCTTAAAATTTTAGATAGTTTTTTTATAGTTTATATTTGAACTAAGTAAAG